GTGTATTAAATATGTGCGTTAGTTTATTGAGCCTTTTCTTTTAACAGTTTTAAATTTCAGTTACTGTGCTCGTGACGAACAATTCATAGTGCTCTCTACTCCAGTCTTGTGATCTAACCAGATATCCGGTAGAAATTTACACGATTTAGAAACAGCACGAAACTCCAGCAAGATAAATTCCTTTTATGCAAAACCATTTATCTTTATTTACAGATCAAGTATAACATTAGGAACATTTAATCATCTTGGAGAGAGTGTCATCGTCAGTCGCTGCGGAGAGAAGAGTTTACGTGAACTTGACTTAAATATTCATCTGTACCTCACATTAAACTATGGAAAAGCTTCAGAACACTTGAAATATAGTGCACGAAAACTTTATGGTGCTTTATAATGTTTTTGTGGCTTTCGTGGGGCTTAATAATAACACAGAATAGTATACGCACTATATCGGATTTGGATCGGTCTCGTCTGACCGACACCCCGATCCAGCAGAAAATGCCAGTATCGGAGCGATACCGATACTGAATATCGGAACGGTGCACCCCTAATACAGATACCTCTAAACTAAACTGATCTTTTAAATTAATCATAGAATATAATCAGTAATTATACTCACTTAATATTAGATTTTAAAGCACAAGGCTGCACTTATTTGAACAAAAACAAACAAACAAACAAAAAACAGTAAAAGCAGCAATATTGTGAAATATAAAAATTAAAATAACTACTTTCTATTTTAATATATTTTAAAATGTAATTTAAAGGCCCTATTTGAACAAACAAGCCATGCGTCAGCAGCGAACGCTGTCTGTGATTGATTGGTTCTGTCTTTCAGCATTTGCGTGTGTTCCGATGAGCAGGAGAAATGGTTCTATCCAACACAATTATTCACTAATATACTTAGAAGCTTTTTTTAATGCACCGAATTTCTTGATAAATAAATACAATTAATGGTTAAAAAATGCACTTTAGAATCAATATTTTTATGTGAGGATTGATCCTTTCGATACAACATCAGTATCGAAAGTATCGATACTTAAGGATCGATCCGCCCATCCCTAGACATCGCACAAATAACACTTCACCTACTCTGTCCATTTGGTGCAGTTCAGCCCTGATGGAGAATAAAACCCAGGAGCGCAGTCCACACATTCTGTATCGGATGCCTTTGTCCCTGTAAGCAGATACAGAGACTGAAAAGATCGGAAAACATAATTTTCTGATCTTTAACTTTAAATGGGGTAAAATGAGAGTAGCACTGAGAAACAATACCTGGTGTTTTTGTTTCTTGTCCTGGTTTGCAAACACTGTGTTTTTCTGCATGAAGGCACTCTGAATCGGATAAGCGAACACAGTGATATCCATCAAGTACATCACAGATGGTGTCTCTTACTGTAGTGCATTTACTCTGGATGTAAAGACCTTGACCTAAGAGCACATTTAGAAACCCATTCACATAGGCAATACTGCAGAATTACAAATTCTGAAAGTAAAAGAAAAACACATTAAAAACATAAGCATACTTTCAGCACATTGTCTGCACGGGAAGCACTGATAAAGACCATTGGGTTCACTCATGAATGTTCCTGGACTGCAGGGTATACATGTGGTACTGAAATCACCAGTGCAGTCACGGTACACCACTGACCCTGCAAACAACAAATATTAACAAGACACAAGGTAGTGACCAAGCAATTCAAGGACCTCTTGGACAAAAATAAAAAATAAGTAAATAAATAATTATGGGTCCCTTCCCCAGGCCCAATGAGAAGGCTATACCCTAGTGGCCCTCCTTGTCACAGGACATAATGACAACATGTGATGACGTTCTTGCTTAGATATGCATAGATATGACTTCATAAGTTCTCTAGAGTAGTACGGTTTTAGTTGAGTGTGGGGAGGTGTTAAGGTGTATGACAACACATATGATGTATGATAGCAAGACTGTAGGCAAAGTATTTTGTTATTATTTTGGTTATGACTGCATGATGTATTTTTGGTCAGATAGAGTTTATTAAATGTGTGAAAGTTTTATAAGTGATATAGCAGTGTTCAATGCAGAGTACTGTTTCTCCTTTTTCCTATCAACTTTTCATATTTAAACGTAATGATTTGTTAACCTACCCAAACTACACATTGGACAACATTCTCCATCAGCAGATCTATATTCACTTGGACCACAAGTATCTCCAAATGAGAAAAAGCAATAAAAACCTGTGAATACACAAAATAAGTTTAAGCAGCGTAAAACTATCCAAGGCTTCCAGCTGGTTTTGCTATTACTATTGTTTAACGTTTCCATTATAATCATTTGATTTTCTCATATAGAATATAACCTTGTGCTGACTGTCTTCTTACCAGACACGTAAAAAAAGATGGCTCTCATGTTTACATCTTCCACCGTCCTTATTTCTCGTATGATTACGTGTCGTCTTCGACCAATTTAAATAGCATTAGTATATAAAGCCTTAACGTTAAAATACAGTTATCTTATTTGTACATACAAATTGTATTCAAATTGTGTGTGGCTCGAAGGGATATGCAAAGCAACTAAATAGCCTGCAACCTTTAGCCAAAAAAGCATAATGGATGCTAACGCTTTCTTCTTCGTCTTTGTCTTCTTCTTCTTTTTGGTGTTTATTGGCGGATGGCATACAACTTTTAGGTGCATTACCGCCACCTACTGGTTAGGAGTGTGGATCAGGACCGTAATCTTCACTAAATTCTATTATATAATCCCGTGTCCTTTAAATAACGCATTAAAAATTGAAAGTTTGTATCCCCTGATTTATTCCCCAAAATGTTCATCAAATTAAGTTTTTCTTAATTTTCCTTGAGGACATCAATCAGTATCTTTAGGCTTGTTTGAGATGAGCAAAATCTGCGCAGAACCGATCACCGTAGTCTGTAAATATGTGTGTGTGTATATATATATATATTTTTAGAATATGTATATTATTTATATATATATTGTATCTATCTATAATATTTATTTAGGCTATGTATATATTGTATGTATTCATCCAGCTTAATGCTCATTGGTTCAGACAACCGTGATGCTGCGCTCTCGTCTAAAATGTTTTACTTTTTTTTATCTGATTTCATGTGATTATGTATTTAAATTATGCATGAATGGTCCCAAACACTATGACAGTGCGATCTCTGTGTGAGATGTGATTGTTGTCATATTTCTATAAAAATATAAAAAACATGTTTTTATTAAAGTAAAAATGGATGATAAATACACCTTTCGTATGGAATTAAATAGCAAGCACTTTGAGTGTCTTGTTCATCATATTTATTTTCATATAAAAGCAACAGAACTGAAAATATATCACGTTTATTAGCAACACAGCACCTGAGTGAGAATAACGCGATATCTGCCTTTGATCTCGTTGGTATCTGCTCCACTTCGAAAGGTCAGAACTGTCCGTCTTGACTGCGCTTATTTAACTCCTCCCCTCACTGCAGCCGCATACTCTCACCAACATTTCAGGCGAGGCGCGGCGCATCTCAAACAAGCCTATTCTTTCCTTTCCGTAGCCTTGTCCAAATACACACTTGCAGTCTTGGCCACTTGAGAGCGCGTGCGCGCGACAGGAAGTAAGTGTGCAAGTCTGTCCCATGTCTTCAAAATGCCAAAGTGCAGTGCCCTTAATGGATACTAAATCCACACTATCTCGAATACCGCTCCAGAGCGCTATTCAAGGCTAAGTGTATCCCATCATGCATCATGTTCTGGAAATAAATCGTGAGACTTTTTGCCGAGATCTCGCGAGAGGTCACGGAAACCTTTCCAATGTAAGTTAAATATTAATATAATAATTAGATATTACAAATAATTTGGTAGAAAAACAGTGTTTTTACTTTTATTGGTGCAAAGATGAGTTGTGGTGATATTTATTTTGTACAACATTTGCAACTGCTTTTTATCATTAGAAGCACCACAAATAAAAAATTATGTCATGTTATAGGGACTACTGAACAGACTTTAGAAGTTGATTTTAAAATTAAAATTAAAATACATCTCTGTAAACACTTGCATTTTTACAACACTATAAGTGTGTCCCATCAGGTAATGAAAAGTTCGACACCCACTTGAAGACTTCGGCCAAATACAGGAAATACGTCATTTAAGTAATCAAGTGGTCAAGTGCAAAGACTGCAAGTGTGGGTATTTGGACAAGGCTCATATCTTGGACACTTCCTTTCTTCTTCTGTGGATTTATTGGCGGGTCGCATACCATCTTTTTAAGGTGCATACCGCCACCTCCTGTGCTGGAGTGTGAAGTGATTTCAGTCTGGGTGTATATAATATCTATATTCTATTCTTAAATCCACTACTCTTAATGAATTTTGAAACTGTCCTTATTATTTTACCTGATCCTTGTTTGGTGTTTAATATGTTGCAGATTGAAAATTTATTGCATCCTATGTTCTGTAGTTCTCTTTGTAGTTCATTCATTTCCTGTTTATACCTAGGACAGAGTAACAACACATGATCAACTGTTTCCTTCACTTGTCATATTTCCCATAATCCTGTATTGTGTTTTCCTATTATGTGAAGTGTAGAATTATGTTTTGTATGACCCATCCTTAGTTTTGTTAAAATTATCTGATCTTCTCTACTTAAGTTTAGTAGGCTATCATTTTGCTTTGACTTCGCTTTGTCGATTCGCAGTGAAGATAAGAGGCTCGTTTGAGATGAGCAAAATCTGTGAAGAACCGATCACCAGTGATCACAAGATGCATGCCTATTAGAAATGTGTCTGAGGGTACTCCGCCTTGCTCTGATGTCACGCCGAGGTATGGCAAAAATCTCTTGCGACAGCGAGTCGAGCGTGCAAAAATGAGTCTGGACTTTGTGTTAAACGTGATCTTCCTGAAACAGTTGAAACATATTTTAATAAAATGTAAAGGATATGATAATGAAAGATTACAACTTACAGAAGCAATTCATATAGGAATTAATCAGATCTCACTTCAGAAATTATTAAATAAAGATGCAACTATAGATGTATTTCACATACTATTTAAGTATCTCAAAGATACAGAGTTAATGAACAGGATTTAAAGAATTATGTTTTTTTTTCTTCTTTCTTTAGCTTTTTAGGTTTCCCTTAACATCAATGATCCACACTCCATCTTAGTAGGTGGCGGTATATACACCTAAAACTGGTTTGCCAACCGCCATAAAAACGTGACAGGGCAGGCAAAGTATTCAGAGACTGCCTCTGTGGCCATGACTGGACAGGCAGAGGGTTCAGGTACAACCTCCTTGGCCGCGACAGGACAAGCAAAGAGCTCTGAGGGTTCAGGAGGTTCTGGAGTGGATGCCGCCACCTCGGGAGGAGCTGTAGAGCAGTGTACAGCCCAAACACACAAGATGGCGGTCGCCATCAGAGAAAGTGCCGCTGATGGTGGAAGGACCCCGGAGACCACTGGGCTCAGAAGTGCTGGGAGCGCTTGAGGCCACCGGGATGCCGTCTGCTTGCTCATCAGTGGTGGGTCCGCCACACTGGACATCAGCCTCTCACTCCCAAAAGCATTCCTTGTAGACTCTCCACTCAACCTGAGGGGCAGATCTATGTACTGTGCCAGGGTCCAGTTGGAATTTCCCCCTGGCATCAGTCAGCCAAGTTCACAGTCCAAACCACTCCAAAAGCAGTCCATCAAAGTAGTATCATCCCATTAAGCAAGCACTGTAAAAAAAAAAATCTGTAGTTTTTACAAAATAATTTTGGCAGCAGTGGTTACCAGAATAATTTTGTAAAAAAAAAAATACAGAAAACCTGTACAAAACTGTAATTTACAAACAAGAAAATTTGAGTGAAAACTAGTAAATTCAACAAATCACACTGCTACTAAAGTCTGTTTTGTATCTTTAACATAAACTGACAACCACCATAACAATGCAGGTGGTAAAAGAGACAGCAATATCAGTTCATCACAAGTAGCTTTTCCACAAGCTAAAGTATATACTAATATATAGAAGCAGTGGCGGCGTTTCACAAAACCATAGGGTATGGCGGTGGGGGTGGGGTCACAGTTTTGATAAATAAAAAATCCAACGGCACAACATTAAGCACAGAAATATAGGAAAAAAAGATAGAAAGGGATAACGTTTAAACGTCGTCAGAGTTGGTATTGTGGCTTTATCAGACACTTGCACTTAACATTTTATGAAAATCAAGATCAAATGGAGTTCGTTTTTGACCAGCGAATGACGGAAGTCTGTGTTTTGTCTGTCATTAGAACAGTTGTATCTGAGGCAATCTGAATGGAGGCGGGGTGAATTTATGAGGTTTCGCCAAGCGGCAACCTCCCGCTCTCTCTCGTGATGCCAACAAGGAAGTGACTTAAACTGTAATTCATCAACTGGCCGCTAGAGGCTGGCTGCAAAAGGGAGTCAATCCCATAGACTCCCCATGTTAAAATGCCCAACTTTACAGCAGAAAAAAAACGTTTACAGCCTGGTTAAAAAATATATTTTGGTTTATATAGCTAATGTTGCCCTTCATGACAACTGTGAGGGGGGTGCATTTTTTATAAGTCATCCATTTAAATTATATTAAGCCTTAAAGTTCTGCATAATTAAGGGCGTGGCCACTTGAGTGACAGGTGGATTGCCGCTGCTGTCACCACCGTCGAGCTAGGTGGGTGTGGTTTCAGCAACCAGCTCCCACCTTTTTGCCCATTTTCGATTATCCGGGAGTGAAGCGCGGTGACGCGCTGCCAAGATGGCGACGGCCAGCTCCTTCAAAAACCTCTTCAGGAACCTACGGGTGACGTCACGGACACTACGTCCATGTTTTTATACAGTCTATGGGTTTCGCTGACAGTTTGAGAATGGCGTTACGAGCTTTAGTGACAAGCTCTTTAAATGCTTTTCATTGGATAAATATTTGTAAAACCCTCGAACAGACATAAGGAAGACCAACAGCATTGATTTAAAATAATAATAACGAAATATAATAGAGATATGAAGTTTGGATAGTTTTCCATGGTACACCTGACTGGGCTAGGGTATGGCGACTGCCATACTCTGCCATACGGAAACACCGCCCCTGTATAGAAGGCACACAGAGTCATTAAAGCAAACACTAAACACCATCATGGTAACACACACAACACTTAAATAATATAATAAACATTCATTAAACAACAAAAGATGTAACATAAACCCAAATGTACATAACTGATAACAAGCATGACAAAACTACTAAGAAACCTGATTATTTAAACAAAATACTGTCAGTATGTCAGGCAGGGAATTCTAGGAATATCAGCTAACAGTTTTTTTTACTGTAAATTATACATTGATTTGTTCTTTTTTTACTTCAAAAAATTGTACAATTAACCAGTGTTCGAACTATACAGTGGACTTTGGGGGAGCCCACTTGGTTTTTTTTTTATAATGGGGGTTTTTATTTGTGCGCTTGCGCGTGCCTCAAAAGAGGGCTTACAATGACTTACAAAGATACATAACAGCTATAAGTGTATGCACTACTTGCTTTATGCAAGCACTATATAGGATAAATCACTATACAGGATTTACCCTATTATACTTTATCGACACGAATTGATAGGTGAAACA